TCTCTCTCTCTCTCTCTCTCTCTCTCTCTCTCTCTCTCTCTCTCTCTCTCATTATCTTCCTGCTGCAAGCTGCAACATTACACAGTAATTGCTCAGCCAACTTCACAAACAACTTATCAGAACCAAGGGATCTGGTAAAGGCTAAACCAAAATGCAGGCTTTTTGGCATTATTGCTTTGTGAATAAAGTGGCTGTCTTTTGCCGTAGATATTTTGCTGTAGCTGAACACCCTTTCTGTTACAGTTTTAGGAATTAATTCTCTAGTCCAGAACAGTTTCCCACTGCCAGGCTTCATTCCTCTCTCCCAGGTAAATGCAGAGATCTGCCTTCCTGCAATTATCTTTATCAGCAGGCATTTGGTCAGTGTTTAGGGCCCAGACAAAGAGCATTCTATTTAAGATAGTCACAAATATCCAAGGACATAGAATTACTGCTTACCCAAGCTGCTGCTCTGGTTTTACCCCACACCCAGAGCTGGTGATAGCAGCATACCCCAGAACTGATAATTTAGAGGCCTGGGTGTCCTCTTTGTTTCTTCTGCCTAGAGCAATAAGTATTAAAAAAAAAAAAACACTGAGCAATAAGTATAAACTCCAGACCTGGGCCCATAGAAACTGAAGTGTCAATCTGGTGTCCGTGCTTTCTGATAAAGAGCCAGCAGCTTCTCCCTGACTGTTTATGTAGGTTGCTTGGCTACCCAATTCCATGCATGCTGATAAAAAAGAAGCGGCATACTGATTTAAACAACCCCATGCCCTATTCATAATTGTACTGAAAATAAACCTTTTGGCTCTTTCTAACCCCCTAAAAATGTACCGTAGCACACTTCTCCTCTAGAATTCCCTGATGATTTAGTTCCTTTCTTTTTTTTTATTACCCCCCTTCCCTCCTCCCCCCTCCCCTTTGTCCTTTAGTTCCTTTCTTAACTAACTTTCTCCTTTAAGGAGTCATCAGACATGCACGGATCTGTGTGTCTGTGTGTGAAAACTCTTATCTGATTTTCTATGGGGCAAAAGAATTCCAGCCCTGGAACCTACTAGGACTGGGGAATTGCTGGTTTTAAGAATATACATGACCAGGAATGTTCGGATCAGGTGGAACAATGGGAAATGATGGATTGAAGAGAGAGTAAATAACATGGGTAAACAGAACCTGTTGTGAGTAGACTTCTTTACCCTCAGATTTTTAGTCCCCCCTTTAGTTTATCCTGGCATCTTTAATTGAACCCTGAACAGAAGTCTTAAAGGCAAGAACTTTGAGGCTCCCATTATCTTCCTTCTAGCAGCCTTCTCTGCTATGATTCAGTATTCAAACCTGTCCTTTTGTACTAAAATGTCTCCACATCCCCCATTCTCTGCTTTGTCCTATGTGGTTGCATGTGAGTGTGTAGTATATGTAGGCGTATGTAGTACATGCAAATATATGTACCCATGCATGTGCATGCAGAAGCCACAAAAAGCTGTCAGGTGTCTTCATCTATTGCCAGCCACCTTCTTCCCTTCAGACAGGGTCTCTCACTGAGCCCAGGGCTTTCATTTCATCTAGGCTGGTCAGTCATTACAATGTTGGGATTCTCTTTCTATCTTCTCTTTCTGTCTGGGGTTTCAAGCATGTGTGGCCATGCCCAGTTTTGCATGGGTGCTGGGGATTAAAACCCAGGTCCTAAGGCTTGCAAAGCAAATCCTTTTACCCACTGAGCCATCTTTCCACTCTTCTCTGCTTCGTTCTTTATAGTACAATACAGACCCTCCCCCAAACCCCTAATATGTTACTTAATATGCCTCAAACTAAGAAGGAATTTGCTCTTTTTCCTTACAGATTTGTGAACATTTTTCTCATACTTTCCCCAAAACTTAGAATGTATTCCCCATTTCTACTGCAAGCTCAGTAAGAATTCCAGGAAATTTCAAAACAGCAAACTAAATCCCTATGCTCCCTGTAACTGTGCTGGCGCTCTGTTGTTATCCCTGTTGGCCTAATAGGCAGACCTAGCTGTCTAGGGTAGGGTGTGCCTACCCGCACACATTCGCTCTGCCTAGCTGTGGGTGCCTACCCGCACACATTCGCTCTGTCTAGCTGTGGGTGCCTACCCGCACACATTCGCTCTGGATATACCTCGAAGTCCCTTCAGAGTCAGTCATTGCACTGTTCCTGGTAATTTTCTTTCTGGCTACAGATGCTAGGGTGTTGGTCAACCTTGAAAGCTGTGTTGAGTGAGGAATCACAGGAAGCTGTCCGATGACACTCTGAACCAAATGAGTTAAGCCCAAGAGCGTTCAGAGTTAAATAGCTACGGCTTTGTTTTGTTTGAGACTGGATCTCATGTAGCCAAAACTAGCCTCTAGCTCTCTGTGTAGCCAAGGATATCTTGAACTCCTGATCCTCCAGCCTCTGCCTCTCAAGTGCTGGTACTGCATGTGTGCCCCGACCTGGCTTCAATAGCAGCTTTAAAATTTTGTAGTCTCTCTTTTTCTTTTGAACTGTAGATTTAAGACGTCCTATTCTATTCTTTTGCATGGGTAATCTCAGATGAAAACCAAAGAACTCATGTTTCCATCATAGCGGATGTTTAGAATCTACAGACCTACCTGACTAACACCCCTCTGGTGCTGTTTCCCTGAGTGAGTCAATCCCTAGCATTCAGTCACACTGTTTTTATAAACATGCAAGAAAAGTTCTTGAGAAATTGCTTGTTTTTCCCTTTCTCGGAATGGACTGAAAGTGATAGCTCTTTTATACTGTTTGATTATCATCTCCTATTGAATGCCATCAATCTCTACTAAGTCCGTACTTTCTCTCTCTCTCTCTCTCTCTCATTTTTCCTTTCGGAAAATGAGAGAGATTGACTGCCTCTTAATTCCTGCTTATTCTTCATTGTTGTTTCTTTATCCTGTCTCAAAAATAAATCCACAGGACTCCAAAAGGGGCAAAAATAGAGTACCTAAGCATCAAAAGTAAAGAAGATAATAAAAGCAAGTAAAGACATGCTAGAAATGAAGAAAAGCAAGGAACAGTTCTAGGGAGAAAATATCTAATTTATGAGTTTCAAAATACAATAAAAACGAAAATGCCCTAAGAAATGCTGCTGCAGAGTGTGTTGTATAATCTGGAATAAAGTGAAGGGAAAGGGCCAGGAAGATATGTGACATAAAGCATCCTACCAGGTCTGAGAGCAGCTAAAGCAGCATTTGGAGGACAATCCATAGATGAAAAGGTGCACAACAGAGAAGAGCATTGTCCCATCACTAAACTTAGCTTCCCACCCCAAGAAACTGCACCAGAAGAAATTAAACCCAAAGCAGGAAAGAAGGCCACAATAATGAGCTGAACAGAAATCAACAGAATGAACAAGTGGTTCTCTGGAAGGAGCAACAGAATCGACAAAGGTTCAATTAGATGGACCAAGAAAACATTAAAGAAGACGTTATTAAAAACTGAGATGAGCCAGGCAGTGGTGGTGTATGCCTTTAATCCCAGCACTTGGGAGGCAGAGACAGGCGGATCTCTGTGAGTTTGAGGCCAGCCTGGTCTACAAGAGCTAGTTCCAGGACAGCCTCCAAAGCTACAGAGAAACCTTGTCTTGAAACCCCCCCCCCAAAAAAAACCCTGAGATGCTGAAGAGGCAACACAGCCTACCTACCAGAAACTCACGGCTCTAGACTAGAAGGCATGTGAGTGCCACACTGCTGTCCTCTTCAGAGTATGGCTTTGTTAGCCGGGTCCCTGCTCTAATTTTATTTCTGTTGCTCTGAGAATATCCTAACAAAAAGCAACACAGGGAAGGAAGGGCTTATTTGGCTTATGGCTCCAGCTTACAGTCTGTCACTGGAGGGAAGGCAAGGCAGAGATTTAAAGCTTCACACCCATGGTCAAGAGCAGAGAGAGAAATGCTTGGATCTTTGTTTGCTGGTTCTTTTTGGCTAGTTTTCTCTATTCTTATCAACTGAGACTCCGTTCGCAAGTGTTTCTGGGTTGTAGCAAGTTGACTTTTAAACTCACCATAAGTTGGTACAGGGGTGCACACTTTTTAATACCAGTACTTGGGAGGCAGAGGCAAGCATATCTCTGAGTTCAATGCCAGCCTGGTCTACAGAGTGAGTTCCAGTACAGCTGGGGCTACACACAGAAACCCTGTCTCAAAATAAAAAGAAAAGCAAAAGTCCAACCATCATACCCTCTAAGAAGGCCACACACAGTTAGCTGATCTTAATGAGTTTGTGTGGTGATTATGACAAAGTGTGGGGGAGTGTAATGGTCTTTCTCAGACCACCAGCCCACAAATCATAGCTTGGAGACATATTATTATTTATGAATGCTTGGCCTTATTGTATACTTGTCCCACATATAAATTAATTTAACCTGTTTCTCTTCATCTATGTTTTGCCTTGGGGCTTTTTACCTTTCTTTCGTTCTGTCCTACTATTTCTGCTTCTCCCATGTCTGACTGACTGGCAGCTGCCTGGCTGGCTGGCCCTGGGCAGCTCCCTCTCTTTCTCTTTTTTTCCCCCTAGTCCCAGATTCCTTCTCCTGCTTATTCTCTCTGCCCACCAGCCCCACCTATCCCTTAACTGCCTAGCTATTGGCTCTTCAGCTTTTTATTAGACCAATCAGGTGCCTTAGGCAGGCAAGGTGAAAACAAATGCAACACATCTTTACATAGCTAAACAAATGCAGTGTAAACAAATGCAACACACCTTTGCATAGTTAAAGTAATATTCCGCAACATAATCAAATGTAACACATCTTTACATAGCTAAGGTAATATTCCACAACAGTGGAGGATACTGCATTATCCCTGGGCTGACATGGACGGTCCCTGTCATCAACTTAGTCAACTTTCTTGAGATTCTGACTGGCACTCAGGAGGAGGAGAGGAGGGTCCCATTATTCTCCTAAGGGTGCTGCCTACCCAATCATGCCTCACTTTATACTTTGATGGGCACCAGGAGGTGGCGAATCTAGTAAGAGTGCTTTCCAAAACCTTTTCAGTTCCCCTTCCCTATTTAGGTTCTACATTAACCAGAAATTAATTATTTTTGGTAAACTTACAGAGTGATATCACCGATGAACTTCCTCAGTTACCAAGCATGTTTACTAGCAAAGAGTTCGCTACCTTGTGAGCTCCGCTTCCTTGCAAGCTCCATCAGGTTTGCAAGCAAGCAAGCAAGCAGGGTGAAAGCCGGTCCCTTTGTTTCCTGTGGCCTGGGTTTCTGATACACAGGGACAGACCTAACCGCAGCTTCAAGGATGTCTAACCACAACAGGGCCCTGAGAGTCATAGGAGGCTAAGCTCCCAGTGTGTAGTCACAGTTTCATTGCTTTCTTCACATCTCACCTCCCTCCTTAACCAAGAGACACAACTCCCAACAAGGGAGCGCCTGTTTCCTTGGTTACCTCATATCTAACTCCTTGCCTACTGCGTCTCAATTACAAACAGGCAACGGGTTCAAGCCAAGGTTCTTTCCCCTCAGAGTTCATCTTCTCCACTGTATTATGTGGTAGACCCCTTGTCTGCATTGCTTCTTCCCGTTGTCCAGTTTACACAGATATGATGCTAAGCACACCCAGGGGGTTGTAATTTACAAAGTGCCGGAGCCAATGCTAGCGCTCTAACCTTTGTTCCCAGGACTCACAGTGTGGCTGTATCGACAGGCCAGGGAGCTAATGAGAACTAGCGAGCCCGGTAGAGTTTGAAGGAAGCAGTAGCAATGAGGAACAGGTGGGTCTACACCAAGGGGGCAACCTTTTCACCCCCAACCTGCTGTCCAATGAGATTGTGTGCCCATCATGGCCAGAGGAGTCTCACGGATGCAAGTCAGGTTGAAAATACGTATGTTTGTATGAAATTGTCCAGCTTTAATTTGTTTCCTGTTCCCAGTTTTCATGTGTGTGCTGTGTGCACGGTTTTTGCATACTCGTGGTAGCACATGTACATGTGGAAGCCGAAGGTTGATGTCAGGGGTCCTTGCTCTTCCTCCCTATTGATTAGCCTCAAAACCAGAGCTTGCTGCCGATGCTAGTCTTGCTAGCTAGTTTGCTCTGGCAATCTCCTGTCTCTGCTTCCTAGGGTGGAATTACAGGTGAGTCACCTCATCCACCCACTCACCTAGCATTCTCCGTGGGTTCTGGGGATTCAACCTTTAGTCCTCACACTTGGCCACTAGCAGCTTAACCACTGAGTTACCATCCCAGCCCTGAACTTTTCCAGCTTGAAATTTTGGCACTCGAATTTTAAAATGTCTTTAGGGTGGTGTGAACCAGTGCTATGTGGTAAATTGGAACACCCTGAGGCCAGTTCTGCCTTTCATTTTCCTCACAGCCACTTTGTTGGTGACATCTCCTCTCTGCTTTGTTCATCGTCTTTGGAGGCAGCAAGCAGTCAAAGTACAGGATATGTTTTCAGGGTTGTCCTAGGGAAAGAAGAGAAAAAAACGGGCCCTTTCCTCTGTGCCACTTAATTTGGGATTAGCACTTCAATTTTATTCAGAAGATTAGATTAAATATTTGACAAAACCATGTTCACAGTTTAGAGCTTTAGAAAAATGGAGCTGGGCACGTGGCTCACTTGGTAGAATGCTTACCCAGCATACACAAAGTCAAGCAAGTATCAGCACCACAACAAGCAAACAAAACCACACACACACACACACACACACACACACACACACACACACAAACCTGGTGGCACTCACGGGTAATCTCAACACTTGGGAGGTGGAGGCAGGAGGATCAGATGTTCAAGGCCATCTTCTGCTACATAGAAACCAAAGCCAGCCTCTACTACATAAAACCCAATTTCAAAAGCAGTAATTTTTTTCCGGGGAAGAGAGCATTTTTATTTCAGTTCATTGCTCCTTTTAAAATTATGTTTCGGGCCATTAACTCTACATCACCCCTGCCCTCCAAAGAAAAATCATGCTTGGTGGCTTTACCTGCCTCTTAACAAAAGTGTCTTTTGTCCCGCTTCCCACTCTTTTTTCGGACAGCGTTTTACTATGTAGACTCACAGAGAGCCACTTACCTCTACCTCCTGAGTGCTGGGATTAAAGGTGTGTACCACCATGCTTGGCAAAACCGTTTTTTTTTTTCAAAAGAAGAAATCATGTGAGGAAACTTTAGAGGACAGTAAGATACAGAGGTGACCACTGCCCGCTACAGCAGTGCATTTGGTCCTTGGGGTTGCCAGACTTCATCACTTGTGCACAGAAGTTGCGACTGACGACATAGGACACGCTGAAGATCATGACTTTACCCTTTCTGAGGAGTGCTGGGGGGGGTCGGTGGGAGGAAGGTGGGGAGGGAGGGGGAACTGTGGCTGATATGTAAAATGAAAAAAAAAACCTTTTAAATAAAAAAGAAACACAAGCTGGGTGCTTGTAGTGCTGCCGGATTGGTTTGACCATGGACAGATGTTGCTAGACTCTGATGAGACAAAAGGAATGAGAATGCTTTAGCAAAGTTGGGGGTGGGGATCAGCTCAGCTCAAAGTGGATGGGAGAGTGACTTTTTTCCCTTCTTGTGCCCATGTTGTATCATGTATCCTTGACCAGGCTAGCCACCCGGGGTAACATAATGAAACCCTGGCTCAAAAATAAAACCCCAAAAGTTGAAAAGGAGGGTGTTAGTGTATAAAAAAAAAAAAGAACGGGGCTGGTGAAATGGTTCAGCAGGTGAAGATGTATACTGCCAAGCCTTATGATGTCTGGGACACACACACACACACACACACACACACACACACACACACACACACAAATGCATTCACTTTTTTCCAAGAAGGAGAACGAAACACACCTTTAAAGGCAACTCTTGGGAGGCTCAGCCAAACTAATTCCTAGTTTGAGGGAAGGCTGGTCGAAGTGAATTTAAAATCTTTTTTGAATATCTTTTGTCCACATAGTTTAGTTTTATCTCATTTGCATTGGATAAATACACCAAGAGAAATTTGCATTTTTATTTCACACAATGGAAACTAGGCCCAATGACTACAGATGAAAAATAAGTCAAACTGTAATCCCAGCACTCAGAAGGTGAATGTAAATTCAGGTTCAAGGTCATCCGTGGCTACATAGTGAGTTTGAGGCCAGCCTGGGATACATGAAAACTTGTGTCTAATTAATTAAATTAATTAAAATAACCTGAAATCTAGCGTTTACCATTTGCATGTTGCTTGGTACGTGATTCAGTCTTGATATTATTTGGCCGAATCTTTATTACAGTGTTTACTTTGTGGAAATCAGTTTTATAAATACTTGTATGTGATATGGTATGCTCCAGATGATAAAAGGACAGGGTCCCCCCTTTCTCCACATTTCCTGAATCGCTGGATGTGTCATTTCAGTGATTGAGGGAGGACCCCTGGAACACAGCTACCGACTGAAGCAGTTTCATTTTCACTGGGGGGCCATTGATGCTTGGGGTTCCGAGCACACTGTGGACAACAAATGCTACCCAGCAGAGGTATGTTTCTTTTCCTTTCATTCTCTAATGTTTTTAAAGGTGAGGTCTTCCCGTAGTTTGGGCTGTCCTGGAGATCACTATGTAGACTGGGCTGGTTTTGAACTCACAGAAATCCTCCTGCCTCCACCTCCCAAGTGCTGGGATTAAAGATATTCAGACCCAGCGGGAACAGCAGAAGTATGCTGAAAAGGTCCCAAAGAGCAATGGGTGTGTGTAAGTGGGAATAGTTCTGGATTTCTAGTTCAAAGAGATTACCGAGAAGTCCCAGGTGACGCTTTAAATCCTGCTTAGCTTGCTGGAGACAGGCTTGAGCCTTCCCGTCTTATACATGTAAAAATTATATCCATTTGAAATAGTATACCTGAAATGAACCTTAAGATGCTGAAACTGCATTCTGGGGCTGGAGAGACCAGTCAGCGCTTAAGAGCACTTGGTGCTCTTGCAAGAGGACCTGGGTTCAGTTCCCTACACCCACATGGTATCAAAACCATTTATAACTCCAGTTTCAGGGGAATCTGATGCCTTTTTCTGACCTCAGCAGGCACCAGGTGCATACATGATACACAGACATACATGCAGGCAAAACACTCAGACACATAAGATATAAAAGAAATAAATATTGAAAATTAGAATGGAATTCTTTCTGAATTCTGAGTTAGGTGCAGTCATTCCTAAAGCCATAAGTTTCTGTAGAGTTGTAAAACTGATTGATCCCAGTGGGAAATTGTGGGGCCCTAAGTCAAGGCGGTGGCAAGAGAGAATGAGAGAAGCAGGACGATTATCGAAGGGTTCTGAAGTCAGAGTGCCAAGGCACCAGAACGTGCAGCTGGGCTAGTCTTCAGGACGGAGAGCTAACTGGGACCTTGAAGTGGTCCATGTGGGAGGTTAGGTGATGCGAATGCACTGGTTCGAGAAAGGTGGGCGAAGAATGATTGCTATGGAAATGCACGCAGAGCACAAGGAAATAGGATTTTCTCTTTGCAAATAGAATTTCTTCTTGCAACTTTTCCCTCAATTTAGTTTTAAATGTGATGCTAAAAATGAAAATATTTTAAGTGATCATCCCTCCAAGAAGAAATTTGTCTCTAGCTCCCATCTAATTTTCACAGGGGAGAATCTATTTCTCTTAATATAAACATCTTCTTGCCTTGTGATGCAAATGGATTTGGGATATTAGTATTTCATGCAAATCAGGATGGGAATGAAGAAAATGTTGATCCGTCATTGCAAAGTTACTTTCCTCTATGAATTTTATTTTTCTCTCCTAACAAATCCCTCTCTTTCAAAGTAATATTGCTCTTCTTGCCACAATGTCTCCTTCCCATTCTTTATGTTGATCTCACTTTGCACCAGACTGCCATATACTTTTCTCAGTGGCTCTATTTTAGGAGCGGAAACGAGATTAAATGTTCCATGTTGGATGGGGCTGTCAGTTTAGTTTGGTGCAGCCCTGCATGGTCTCGTATAAACCTCGCTTTTCCTGTTGTTTCAGCTGCACTTGGTACATTGGAATGCAGTCAAATTTGAAAGCTTTGAGGATGCAGCACTGGAAGAAAATGGCTTGGCTGTGATAGGTGTATTTTTAAAGGTAAAAACAAACGCGCAGGCTGGGCACGGTGGGACACCTTCAGTCTCAGCTCTTGCGAGGCAGAGGCAAGCAGAACTCTGTGAGTTCCAGGCCAACTTAGTCTACATAATGAGTTCCAGGACAGCCAGGCTATATAAAAAGACCCTGCTTCAAGCAAGCAAGCAAGCAAGCAAGCAAGCCAACCATCTCACCAAGCTCAAATGGTTTATTGTATCTTATACTGAAACAATAGAACATTACAATATAAGCTACTTATTTGAAGAAAATTTAGAACTAAAAGGAAAACTATCTGTACAGATTGCTTAATGGTTAAGAACATGTACTACCCACGTAGTTGATCCCAGTTCAGTTCCCAGCGCCTACATCCACCAATTTATGACTGCCTCTGAGTCCAGCTCCAGGGCTATTGGATGTCTTCGCTCAAATGCACATCAACCCTCCCTATGCTCATGCACACGCATGCACGCACACACACTTAAACGAATAAAAATAAATCTTAAGAAAAAAGAGACCATTGGGCCAAGCATGGTGGTGCATGCCTTTAAACCCAGCACTCAGAAGCCTGAGGTAGTAGCATTGCTGATATATTAAAACGTTAGCCTGGGCTACAACATAAGAATTTGTCTCAAAAAATTTTAAGAAGAGTAACTACTGAGAAATCTCAGCGTTTAAGAGTCCTGCCAGGCATGGTGGTGCACACCATTGATCCCAGCACTCAGGAGGCAGAAGAGCAGAGAGATCTCTGTGAGTTTGAGGTCAGCCTGGTCTACAGAGTAAATTCCAGGACAGCCAGGGCTACACAGAGAAAAATAAAACAAATAAACAAACAGAACATTGGGATCAATAGGAGAGGTGAGGAGGAGGGAGGGGAAGGGGAATGAATATACTTGAAGTATAAGATATATTTGTATGGAAATTTCACAAGGGAGTTCATTATCCTGCATAATTAACATTTTAAAAAGAGTATTAGTGCCATGCCAAGTGTGGTGCCACACACTTTGAATTCCAGTACTCAGGAGGTACACATAGGTGGATCTCTGTGGGTTTGAGGCCAGTCAGGACTATGTAGTGAGACTGTCTAAAATTATATGTGTTCTACATATAGATGGAAAAATCAGCAGTAGTTAAAAATCAGTAACTATTATGAGTCTATTTCAAATGGTCTAAAAATGTGCTACAGGGGCTAGAGCAATGGCTTGGTGCTCTAGAGTGCTTGCTGATGTGATATTCAGGTCCCAGCATGCACACCAGGCTGCTCACAGCTGTCTGTAACTCCAGCTCCATTGGATTCAATACCCGCTTCTGTACTCCATGGGCATCTGCCCCACATACACAGATCCCTACTCAGACAGACAGACAGACATAAAAATAAAAAATAAAATAGGTCTTAAAAATACATAGCCAAATAGAGAAGGCACAAGTCATCTGGGGCATGTGAGCACTTGAAATATTCTTAGTTTGAGACATTGAGGCCAGTCCAGGCTACATGCTAAAACCCTGTCTTCCAGGACGAGGTTAGTGAAAATGCAGGGTAATTTATAATTTCATTCATTTAAAATGCAGTGTAAGAAATGATACTTAATGGGAACAGAAGGCACCTTTCTCTGTAGACTTGCTCTTGCCAGCAAACAGCCTGTTCATTTTGCTCTAAGTCTAATTTAATTTAGTGTTGTTTATAATATTTGCAATTACCAGCTGAAATCTAGTCTTAGCCCTGTGGTTTGTTTATATGTAACCACCAGGTGGTTAATTTTGATTCACATCCTATTTGAGTTTCTACAGTGAGATGGCCATTGTTTGTAATACTTCTTCTCCCCCTTTTCAGCTAGGCAAACATCACAAAGAACTACAGAAATTGGTGGACACTCTGCCATCAATTAAGCACAAGGTAATCTTCAACCTTACGCCCCTTGAAGTCTATCTTATATTTGAACCTCGGAGTAGATAATGCACTTAGAAGCAGGAAGACAAATGAAATGAACTATATTCAGGTCTCTGTTCACACCGCTGCAGGAGGAGACCTGGCATGGATGAGGGTGCATTGATGATGGTCATCCTGTGGTTAAACACTGTGGGGCACAGGAGAAATTACCTGGGTGGAGCTTTCTGGTTTTGCTGAGTGCTTGCTAACTGGGGATCTACTCTTTCCTGACAACTCCTTCTCCATCTTTGTAGGGACACTCAGAGCAGCCTTCTTTTCTCTAGCTACCTCCCACGAGTAGGCAGAGAGAAGAGTTTTATAGAAACTTAACTTGTCTAGAGTGAAGGGCTCTATGTTCTCTGTCCAACTGCCAAGATGAATTCCTCAGTATTCAGAATCCCTAATGGGCTGCTTCCCGGAAATCAGTACACTATTTTTCTGTTCTCTGTCTTCCTATTCCCCTCCTTCCCTCCCTCCCTTCTTGTTTTCCTCTTTTTCTCTTCTTAGTCCAGGATTCTGGCATTCCCTTCCTTCCTTCTTTTCTTCCTCCCCACTTCCTCCCTCCCTCCCTTTCACTGCACTGCCGGGATGGAACTCAGTGCTTGAGCATGCTAGGCAAGCAGTCTAGCATTGAGCTACAACCTCAGCTCTGGGCTAGTTTTACAAGGACAAATCTGTTAGTTTCTCTTGAAGAAGAGACACCTCTCTGATTATGAGTAGCCACTACCTAATACCTCCCAACAGAATTAAAGGAGAAAACGTGTTTGTTGTTTTTTTTTTTCCCTCAGGGAGAACTATCAGAAATACACAGTGTGATTTTGTGTGAAGCAGTGATGGCTGTTTTAGAAGCTACCTTTAGTCCCTGGACATCCCCTGGACCACTGTTGGTCCCTGGACAATCCATGAGAGTCACTGCCCTCACCCTCTGATACCTGAGTAACTTTGATCAATAAATAATAACTCCTTCTCTTGGACAGGACACCCTGGCAGAATTTGGATCATTTGACCCTTCCTGTCTGATGCCTGCTTGCCCAGATTACTGGACCTACTCTGGGTCTCTCACTACACCACCCCTCTCAGAGTCTGTTACCTGGATCATTAAGAAGCAGCCAGTAGAGGTTGATCATGATCAGGTATTCCTTGCGCATCTTCCATCCAAAGAAATACCAGTCTGTCTGTTCAAGCTTGGCTCTAATCTTAACATCAGTTTTGCTTGTTTGTCTTGGGAGAAGTAGGATCTCATGTAGCCAAGGCTGGCCTGGAACTTTAAAGGAACTTTTTTGGTGCTTGTTTTATTGTCTTGTGATGGTAAAGATTGAAGTCAGGGCCTTGCACAGACTAGGCAAGCATTTGCTCCTGTATCTCTAGCCTTAACCAGGAACAAGACTTAAAGCACAGAAGGACATAGCTATGTATTTGCTTTTATATTTGCTTATGAATTGTGTGCTTCCTCTGTAACTGTGAATCTCTATATAAAATCAAGACCCCGGTGAAGGGAATAAATAGTGAGCTGGAAATGTCAGAGCATTTATAATACTCAAGGGAATTCTGCAGTAAAAGCCCAGGAGACTTAACAATGACTATGAAGAAAACTGAATATTATTTAAACCCGTGGTCTATATTTGCTTAGAAAAATCAGTTGAAGTGATAATTACTATACCTATACACAAAGTCTTGTTTAGTTTACTACTAAAATGCAATGATATTTGCACATGGGTTTGGGATCTAGCCTAGTTCTGGGTTCAATCCCCTGTAACACCTCCCTATTCTCTCTCTCTCTCTCTCTCTCTCTCTCTCTCTCTCTCTCTCTCACACACACACACACACACACACACACACTCCAAACAGATCATTTCTAATATTTTCTCATACTTGCTGTGTGGGATATATATTGATGACAAATCTTTTTCACAAGAAATAAACAAAACCTTCCAAACTTTTTATGAAGTCAGTATAACTGACACTACCAGCGATGGCCCTGCCAAAGTGAATTTGAGACTGATCAGAAAGGGAAAGAGGTAAAATACAATATTAGAAACAGAATCCAGCAGTGTATCAGAAGCAGAGGGATGGTTGTTACTGGTCCCAAACTCTCTTAACTGCTGAGCCAACCCCGAATGCTTGTTTATTATTATAGTAACAAAATTCATGGTATCAGTGACTCTACCTCAAGAAAAACATTAACATTGCCAGAATTTTGTGCTTCTTTATTTGGGCTTTTTGAGACAGGGGTTTCTCTGTATAGCCCTGACTGTCCTGAACTTGCTTTGTAGACCAGGCTGGGCTTAAACTCGCAGAGATCCACTCTACCTCCTGAGTGCTGGAATTAAAGGTATACACAACTATTGCCCAGCCAGACTCTTTTAAAAAAATGGTACTGAGAATTGAACCTAAAACCTAGTGAATGCTAGGCAATTAGTCTACCGCTTAGCCACATCCCTGGTCCTCATTTCTGCAGATTCTTAATGATAGCTGTAAAAGTCTTTAGTTTCATTTCTTGTTTTTTAAAATATGGTATCTAGCCCTGTCTGTTCTGGAACTCACTATGTAGACCAGGCTGGCCTCAAACTCCCAGGGATCCTCCTGTCTCAGGCTCCTGAGTTCTGGGATCAAAGGCATGTGCCCCTTTGCCCAGTTCTATTCTGTCCGTAATAATTTGTACTAAAATACAGATGAATAGAGACTTCCTTAACATGGTGATCTTAGTTTGACAGTAAATACAGGAGCTAGGGAGATGGCTCAGGACTTAAGAGCACTTGCTGCTCTGCCAGAGGCCAGGTGTTCAGGTCCAAGCAGGCATGTCAGACAGTTCGCGGCCACCTGTAACTTCAGGCTCAGGGCATTGAACGTCCTCTTCTGGTCCACACAGATAGCACACACAAGTAGCATACTCTTTTGCTCATAAATAAAAATAGAATAAAAAAATTAGAGAACAAATGCAGTCATCCATTGGTAACCGTGGAAGACTGACTCCAGAACCCCAAATATAGGAAGCATGCAGCTGCTCAAGTCCCTTATGTGGAATTGCATATGATTTTAACATTTGCATGTATCCTGCACACACCTTACAATATACTTTAAATCACCCGTATATTACTTTTTGATATTATATTGCCATACAGTAGAAATACTATGCAACTAGTCTTGCTACTGTATTGGTTAGGGAGTAATGCCAAGAAAAGCCTCTGTACATGGTCAATAGAAGCAGTTTCCTGGCTGGCCTAGAATTCACTGTGTAGACCAAACTGGCCTTGAAATTACAATGATCCTCTTGTTTCTGACTCCTGAGTACCAGCAGTATTTTTCTAATATTTATGTGGAACCCATGGATACAGAATAACAATAATTATGTTTTATATGGAAGTATTTTTTTGCGTCATGTAGCCCTACTCTAGCCTCCAACTCACAATGTAGCCAAAGATGACTTTGAACTCTTTTGATATTCCCTTCTCTATCTTACAAATGCTGGGATTATAGGTACACCTGAAAATAACTGTTACCATATTAAATGTTATATTAAATTATACTTTAGAATTATCTATATACTGTGCATGCCTACAGACCTTGCTGCTCAGGAGGCTGAGGCAGAAGGATTGTCTGAACCTAGCTGTTCAAAACTGGGCTGAGCAATATATCAAGACTACTCCTCTCCCTTAAAAAATATGTTATAGAGCTGGGTATGTTGGCGCATGCCATTAATCCCAACACTAGTGACATCCTGTCTCAAAAACAAAAGACAGGAAACATTGTAGAAATGGCCCATATGATCAGACCAACAAATAAAGCTATGTGGGGAAAACAGTTAAAAATGCAAAAATAAAATAATTTAACAGTTGGTGCAGTATGTTAATATATAGAAATAAAGATATATATCAACTATATGTCAGTTAAAAGACATAATGACACAAAGATATAATTTAAAAAGTCATAGATATGATCAGCATAAAACTGAAAAAAATACACTTGAGCGGTTTGAACAAGGAATGCTAACCATAAAGCTTAAAAATCTTCCAGGACACAGAAAGAGACTTAATTAACTTCATTACTGGCCAGGAAGACAGACATCGTAACGATGCTACTTTTCCCTAAGTTGTTGTATTTTCCATGAATTGTTTAGTCTCCATAATTTAATGCAACTCCAATAAACATGTCATTAGGACTTAAAGTGACCACATTACTTTTAAAAGGTTTTATTTTAAAAAAATATTTTGTGTATATGAATATTTGTATATGTATATCCCACATGTGTAACTAGTTTCCAAAGAGACCAGAAGAGGGTTTGGATATACTATGACTGGAGTTATGCATGGTTGTGAGTCTCCATGCATGTGCTGGGAACTGAATTCGGGTTCTCCACAAGAGCAGCAAGGGATCCTAACCACAGAACCATGTCTTCAGCCTCATTTCATTCTGTTTTTAAGTGTGTGTGTGTGTGTGTGTGTGTGTGTGTGTGTGTGTGTGTGTGCACTCACAAAGAAGCCAGAAAAGGGTGTCAGATCCACTTGAACTTGAATTAGAGGCTGAGTTGCTCAGCATGTGTGCTGGGAACTAAATTTGGATCTTCTGAAAAAATGACAAGCACCCTTAACCACTGAATCATCTCTCCAGCCCCCTAGACATAAATTTGAGTCAAAACAGACATGCATAAATAGCCAGGGAGATTTCTGAAAGAACAAAGAAGGAGTGATCAGATTCACAAAAGTATAGAGCTTTAAGAACTAAATGTCATGATACTGGCACAGGAATAGGACAAACAATCAAGAAAAGCAGTTAGAAATAGAAATAAAGCCAATAAAAGATATACAGAGAGAGAGAGAGAGAGAGAGAGAGAGAGAGAGAGAGAGGAGAGGAGAGGAGAGGAGAGGAGAGGAGAGGAGAGGAGAGGAGAGGAGAGAAGAGAAGAGAAGAGAAGAGAAGAGAAGAGAAGAGAAGAGGAGTGAAGAGGAGTGAAGAAGGAAGGAGGGGAAACTGGGAATGAATTAGCCTGGGTTCTTTTGAGTAGGGCTTCTTATGCTCATGTGCTTATGGGGGCTGAGAAGTCTTCTGGTTTGCTGTCCACTACTGAAGAACCAGCTTCAGCAGGTTAGAGAAACTGGAGAGATGAGAAATTGGCCACTTCTAAACATATACACAGGAGGTTTATCTGAGAGGGCAAAACTTAATTGTTCATTTTATTTTTCTCTTTCTTCTTCTGCCTCTTTATTTTTTTCTTATCCCTTTTATACCACCTAAGCCAAAAGTTTCTATGCAAGAAAAGATTACCTCACAACCACAATTACATATTTTCCAGAAACAAATTAAAATCTTTACACAGGAAGAAATCACATCATAATCAAAATTTACATGTGCTTTTTTTTTAGAAGCCAACAAGTAGTTACACATTTTTCTTTGTATTAATTTTCCTGCCATAACATCTTTATCCCAAAGCAATGATTTCTTCATTATTAGCAAAGGTCTAAGCAAGCCAGTGCATTGCAGCCAGTTTCTTTGTATTGGCACGCAGCTGTTTGAGGTTTCAGTGCAGCAGATTCCTACAATGCTTTAAACAAGAGGTCTAGATCACCATCTATTTTCCCTTACACACAATAGGGGCATTCACAGCTTTGTTTTTTCAAGGTGCACACCGGGGCTGTGATTAATTCTGTAAGCTACATGACCAGGGACCTCAGGCCTAACCCTGGGTGTGGGGACATAACTGCTTTCTTTGATCATCAGCCTGTTTGCCCACAGGCAGAGTTCATGGGTCTATAATGCACTGAAACTTCCTTATTGTTATTTTCCATCCTCGGCAAATCTCACTTCTAACAAAGGGGAAAGTGACTTCTAGCCTAATTTTGCCCTTTTTTGTATGTCTTATTACAGCAATTGGCAGACTAATCTAAACCGTTTCCCTAATCATCTTTTCTGTCTTAAGCACCTGTATCTTTAAATCATGGATCTAACCATTGCTCCTATAAAAAAAAATCATCCTCATTATGATCTGCAAGTAAAATGCTCAGTGAGGAGCAGGATTTTTCCCATGAAACAATCACACTATCCTAGGCACAGTGGGATCCTTTCACATGGTAGTCACACCATGCCCAACACACCAGGAACATGGCAGCAGCAAGCAGGAGAATGCACAGCAGAAGAA